GTTTGATTTTTTGCCATTCCACTTAGCATAGTATACAAACTGGAGATCCCCATCTCTTGATCTAGAGTTGTTTGTGTAACCACCAAATCAAGAGTCCAAGAGGGCCTTTAAGATTAGGCACATAGCTTGACTAAATCATCCAGTTTGAGGAGGGTGTAAGAGATTAATCCAATATCCCAGAAGAATTCTGACACAGGCAGGGTTTAAAAGCAATTTTGCAATGGCTTCACCTGAATTCTGTAAATCTTTTCTGTAAATTCATTGCCTATTGAAATTTTTTGCCTCATCCATTTTTATAACAAATCAGAAAATTACTGAAAAACAACTTATACATCAGAGAAATTTTCTGCCTCCCTTCAGGAGGATACAAGAAGTAAATTAATGTTAACTTTTTAAAGAAACTTGGATACTGAGTAGTGAGGATTGACATAATTTCTGTGCAGAGTTCAGAGGAACTAGGACAATTCAGAGATCACAAACCCACAATTTCCCTTGGAAACTAAGTATTTCATAATACCGGAGTCTTTATATTAGAATCTTGCTCATTGTTTCAGTTCTTGGGTATTAGCAGTGCAGATAACATCTAAAGCACGAAATTCTTCCTCTCTATTCTCACGGCATGTCATTGGTGACATGCTAGTCATTAGTCCCCTCAGTAAATGCAATTTTGCCTGACTGATTTTTAGCTCACAGCACAGTATATTTAAAATGCATCTCTCTCATCCATTGGCAATTCTGTACTTCCCTTCCTTTTGTGCTCTGTCAATCACCTATTGCTTTTCCTTTCACTCTCCTCCATACACCCAGAGCCTTTCACAGACCTCATCTGCCTTCTCTTCTGCTGTCTTTCTGCCTTCTCCAAAGCAGTCTTTGCAAATAAGAGTATCCTTCAACCTCTATCTTCTTTCAAATCAGCATATAAGTATAAATCTTCCTTAATGGTCACAGCCTTTCCCTTTGTTCATTATTTATGCACATTTATGTAGCAGTTAACAACACCAAAGTCTAGCAAACCAAATAACTACAATGAGTGTTTTTATGTTAAGCACAGGTTCATGCAACACTTAATTTACTTATTTATTTTTTATAAATTTAAAACAGTTGCCCAGTTACCCTAAGAAAAGCAAGCTAGAACTCTGTATTCTCACAGAATGTCTCTCTGGAAGAAGTGATTCTCACCAGTGGAAGAACTAAATACTTTTGTCTTCCTATAAATGTACACTACCTTGCTAGAAGAGAACATACACAGGTGCCTCCACTGCACTTTTCAAGTAAGCAACACTACAGTATCAATAAAAACTGTCAACCCAACAGTATTGCCTATAAAGAGCCATGAAATCCACTCTTAATCTAGTTTTGCACTATTTAATTCCCTGGAATTTGTTTGCAATGGTTGTCCAGTCAGCATTCACATAACAAAGCTGTGTCTGTATATTTTTGATCTAGTCAGGCCTCTGTCTTAGTGCTAAACCAGAAAATAACAGTACTAGAGCCCATTGGGAACGCAATTCAACTCTTTAAGTGTCCACTCTCCTCCATTTTTTTGGGGCAAAGCCAAATGAGTTTGCTTAGCTTAAAAACTTAACAAAAATCAGTGATTAGTGGCAAAAATTAGCCAAAGACATAGGGTTTTGAGGTAAACTGATTGTGTCTGCACCTGGAGCTGACAGAGACCACTCAGGACCACTTTAGTTTGACTAAAGGAGAGATGTCCCACTAGGAAGGAGCACTCCTAGAAACGAAAAGTGGTGTGAGAAGCTGTTGCCTGCCACTTCTCAATGTATTTGTTGATGCCTCACCCACTGCCCTCCCGATCCTCTCTTTCAATTCTGAGTGCACATGGAGTCACGGGGAAAAACAGGTCACGTGATCCTCAGGGTCCCAAGCTAAGAGTTACAAAGTTTTTTCAAGTGACATGAAGGACTGAGCGTGAAACTGGGCTTTGGCTTGAGTCAAATGGCCAGAACTGAAATTCTGTTATTCCTTATTGTCATGGTTTAATCCCAGCCAGGAACCAAGTACCACACAGCCACTTGCTCGCTCCCCCACTAATGGGACTGGGGAGAGAATGAGAAGTGTAAAAGCTGGAAAACTCATAAGGTGAAATAAAGAGGATTTAATAGGAAAAGCAAAAGCCGTGCAAAGCAAAACAAGGAATTAATTCACTACTTCCCATGGGCAGGCAGTGTTCCTGAGTCTCAAGTCTCAAACCTGAATAAACTGAGCTTTTCCTCTTTTTGTGGTGGAAATCTATCTTCCAAAGGTCTAGTTGAATCAAGTCTTTCTCTTACTAATAAACTACCAATTATCCAACTGCAGGAAGAAGATGTCAAGAAGCCCAAGAAATCAAAGATTCCTTGACTTCTGTTATTATCCTTTTGCAGTAATTTTTTTCAAACATTGAGGAAGGCAATGTGCACTGTGATTTAGAATGATTTATAAGTTTTTGAGTTTCTGGAACAGAAGTATGTATCACATCTGATGTGGAGGGAAAAGTCTCCTTGTAATAACGTGAAAATCTGAGGAATCCTTTTGCAGCATTTGAATTACATCTCTTGAAAATTTTATTAGGTCCTTGTTTTCCTGTCGCCTATTGGGCAACAGGAGAGCAATGACACACATGACATGCTGCAACCTTGTTGTCATCCCCCTCTGGTGAGAGGGCAGATTTGTCCCTTAATTAGTCCTTTGTGCTGTGTCAGAATATGAGCCTCCTGGGCTTGCCAGCAACAACACATTCCTCAATCTGATTGCCTGGAAAGTTCATGCATTCTGCACTGTCTTCATTAGTTCATTTTGTGCATTCTTCACGATCAGTACAGAGCATCCTTCCAGCTCTTTTGCAGCTGTTGCTTCCTCATCTATCAATGTTCCATTCACACCTCAGTGATACCGATATTCTTGTCACAAGGCTCTAGAATAGGCTAAGAAGATCCTTGGACATGAAGAAGACTTCGGAGGAAGATGGGAAGAAGCTGACAAGAGGCTTTTGCTGAAATGAGCTGTGTTAGCTAAGAAACCCACCAAATTTACACAAAGCAAAACGGGATGTAAGTTTTGTAAGGAGGACTCTGGACAAATTTAGGCCATTTGCTTAATGTATGAAATCATAACTCTGACATATTATTTCTAATATTTAAACTTTTGAATTGCCATATGCAAACTGTCTCTGCCCTAGAAAGAAAAGATATACAGTATAGGATGGTTCATGGGCTGAAAGAGTGACTGACAAACAGAGTAGGAGAGAAGAAGATGAAGGGGAGAGGAGGAGAGTATATCACAGAATATTCTGAGTTGGAAAGGACCCATAAGGATCATTGAGTACCAGTGGGGGTTGCCCCCGAGACCCTGATGTTATTAACACAGTGCTGTAATCAACTTAGCTAAGGAGAGAAAAAGGGAGGGGGAAAGGGAGAGGAAAAAGAAGCTATAGACTGGTAGCAAAGGAGAATGGCTGGAGATTTAGCAGAACTGGACACAAGGCCAATAGGCTAGATGGAGACTGGATGAACAGAATATCAGATAGCTGTTTTGAAGAAGCAAAGATCTGTCAAGTCTGTTCCATTCTGATGGGAAAAGCACAAGCAGTGTCTGGAAGACCTGAAGAGCAGAAATTGTGAGACATTGTCTGGATGTAGTAAAGGAGGATTCCAGAAAGAACTGACTGAGGAGTTGATTTAAGTGTTCAGGCTTTACCATTCTGTTCGGGATTCTACAAACCCTTGTGGTAGTCAAGCTCAAGAAGTAGGTTAGTATATCCTTCCAGACAGAATGGGATTCTCCCCACACAAAATTCAAAATTCAAGACGAGTCTGGAAGAAGTATGCTCTGGTATATGAATTTCTTCTTTGTCCAGAGAAGGAAGACATCCCTCATTGACTCCTAAGTGCACAAATGACACAGAGGGCTGGCTTGATATCTGAAGAAGACAGTGGAAACAAAGCCTACACTGTCAGCTTTCAGACCTCACAGTTAAGACATACCATCTTGTGGACCAAAAAAATTTGAATACCAAGTGCCAATTGGATTAATAAGTTGTACATCCTTGCAGATATTTCAGTAACACCCTGGAGCACAAAATAACACTCTGAAGTGCTACCTCAGTATGCGAGACATGCCATAGGATGGGATGTGGAACGTGACAAGAGGCTAGATTGTTCTAGTGAGATACTGGCAAAAAGCAGACAGTAGAGTTCAAGCTATGAACTACCAGTAGTTACAGCCTTACAACTTTAGAAAATTCCTAAGTATTCAAAAGTGCACTCATATCTAGTAAAAAAATAAAAAAAAAGAAACCCAAAACATTTACCACAGGCTACAGTTTTAAACTAAGTAAGTATCTTCTGATTTTTTTTTTTTTTTTTTGTGATGAACTAGAGTCATGAATTCAAATTGCTTGTGATCAACACAAGGGCAGAAAACGTGTCACTCGTAATATAACCTCAGTTTATTGGGGTCCACGTAACTCCAGACTCAGCTGCAATGAACCACTTCAGCACCGCATTACGTGTCTCACCAAGGGCGAGGCAGGGGATACCCCGGCATGGCAGAGGGGTTGAAGTACCGGGGGTCACAGGCCTCAGCAGCAGCAGCAGGACCAGCACAGTGTCCAGGTGTGCCTGCTCCTTGCCAGCTGCATCCCTTCAGCGCAGAGAATCAACTCGCAGAGTCCACGGACCCACGGCCTCGGCCCAGCCCTCCCATCCCTGGTGGCAGAACCGCTGCCGAAGGCGTGTTGCGGCCCCGGGCTCGGAGCAGCACCGGCCTCCTCAGCCTCGGGCGGAGGAGCGGTGTGAGGGCGGGCGGGGCGGAGCCCCGCGCACCGGCGCGATCACCGCGTCCCGGGGCGGAACGGGACCCACCTGCCCCCCACCCCGGCACCTCCCACAGCCCTCCCCGGGGAGCGGCTCCCGCGCCCGCCTCGTCCCGGGGCGAGGCTTCCTGCGCTCCCGCCGCCGCCTCGCCCGGGAGCCACCCCCGGGCTGCGGCCGCCGGGCGGGGTGAGGGGAGATCGCGCCTTATGCAACCGGCTCAGGGAGCGGCCGCCGCCGCCCCGCCGGCAGCAGCAGCTCGGCGCTGTCCGTGAGTGCCGGGGCGCAGGGGGGAGAAGGGCTCCGGCCGCGGCAGCGCCCAGGCAGCGCAGGAGTTCCCGCCCCGCCTGCCCGCGCCGCTCCCCCGGGCCGTGCCCAGGTGCCGGCGGCTGAGGCGGGCGGGCGGCTCCGGGCGGTGGCCGTGCCGTGCCGGGCTCTGCCGGGGCTGAGGGAGGGCGGCGGTCGCCGTCGGAACTCGGCTCCCCCTGCCCCGAGCGGGTGTTGGCGCGGCTGGGGGGAGGAGAGGGCGGGAAGAGCCTCAGCCCGTGCCGGCCTTCGCCTCCGCGCCCCGGCCGGCCGTGTGCCCGGCGGCCCGGCTGAGGGGAGATGCGTGGCTGGGACGACCTTTACCCGCTCCCAGTGCCGCCCTCCTGGGTGCCGGGGGCTGCCGTCGGGATTCTCTCCTTGCACTTCATCCAGAAACTCCTCTTCCCGTACTTCTGGGCCGACCTGAGGTACCTGCTCAAGGTGGTGACCTATGGGCTGCGAGTGGAGATGTACCGGCTGCAAGGGAGGGTTGTCACCGTCCTGGACAAGTTTGTGAAGCTGGCGGAGAGGCAGCCCCACAAGCCGTTCCTCATCTACGAAGGGACAGTTCACTCCTACCGGGATGTGGACCGGAGGAGTAACAGGATAGCACAGGTCTTCCTGCAGCACGAGGCTCTGAAGAAGGGAGACACAGTGGCCTTGCTGATGGGCAACGAGCCGGACTTCATCCACGTGTGGTTCGGACTGGCCAAGCTGGGCTGTGTGGTGGCATTCCTCAACTTCAATGTCCGCCTCAGATCTCTCCTGCACTGTGTCAGTAGCTGTGAGCCCAAGATATTGGTTGTGGGAGCAGGTAGGGTATATGCCTCATTCCTACATCCAAAGCTTTTAATGCCACATCTCCTATGTGTCTGTCCCTCCAGCTCCTTTATTGAAAACCTGATTTTCAGATGTTCACGGAATGAAAGAAACCCAGGGCTGGAAGGAGCTTCAAGAAATTACAAAGCTTCAGCCTCTCAGGCAGAATCAAGTATATCCATGCCTTGGGGACACCCATTTAACCTTCTCTTGAAAAATGTGCATTACAGGAGAGTTTTCAATATCTAAGTACAGCCTGTTCCAAGTGTTTAATTGCTTAATTGCAGTTGCTTAGTGTGTCTCTAGAAATATTAAAATTAGCTATTAAGAATAATTTTTCATTCCTTCTCAAATAGTCAGATTTAATCCTAGTTAAGTCCTGTACTTTATTCTCTTATACCATCTCCCTGTCTTCCTGCTGATCAAAACCACTGCAAAAATAGAAGGCCTAAGCTCAGACTGTACAACCTCTGCTGTTCAACTGTTTGCAAAGTTATGATAGTTTTCCAGGAACTAAAGTTTTGAGAGTAGAGCACGTAGAAGGTTGATTCATAATAACCAACTTACTCTTGGTGTTGGATTGTAGAAGAAATTGCTGTGTTTGAATAGGGATAGTAGTGTGTGTTGTGTAAGTTTCCAGAGTATTACATTTTTATTAAATGCTTCAAAAGATTTTCATATTTCAGTGTAGGCATACTGGGCATTATATGCTTAAATTTGGCTTCAGTTATAGAAATGTATAAACTTAAGACAGATCCAAAACATAAACTTGCCACAGCATTTATGATCAAGTGCAAGTGAGCCTGCAATGCTAAAAGATCACACAGAGCCTTGCCATTTGGTTGGAGGAAAATATTTCCAAATATTTCATATTAATATTTTCCCGCCTCTCCAAAATTATTGTTTCAAGTCTACTTTGCTTTATTCTGTTTTTGAACTTCTTGCCTTACTCCTGTTACATGGGTCATGGGATTTTACATCCATGACAGCTAAATGGTGGAATTTCTTTCCATCTGTTCTCTGCTGCTACGAATATATGCTTTCAAAACTTTATTTAAGATTTTCATATTTTTTGATTATAAATCTTGTTATTTGAATCTATATGGTAGGCTGGTTTAAGATGCTTGGTAATTAAAACAAGCTGATGAAACAAAAATGAATTTAAATATGATCCCAACACATGATAACAAGGCTTCTGAAATGAAAGGTTTTTATTTTGCCCTCTTACTTAATTAAAAAAAACCAAACTTGTTTAGCCACCTCTCATGAATATGTGTTTTTGAGTGGATTGAAGACTGGAATTAATGTTCAAGAACTTCTTACTCATTGACTGTAGTGAGGGAGAAACTTTGGATCAAAGCTTGTGTCTAAGAGAAGTTTTTATGTAAAAGAGAGGTTAACTGATGAATGAAAGCACCATTTGCAAAGCAGGATCAGGATCTGTGTTTCTTCACTCTTAATTTGCTACCAGCAGCTGATAGTAAGAGCAACTGTGTTGAACGAGGTTGTTCTGGGAGTCTTCCTTTGCTCACATAAAGAAGAGCTGTATGCAGATAGATAATAAAGCAGAGACACCAACAAATTAGTCTTTCAGCTGGTATTGTACATGTTGGCCTTTTTACTTTATTAATGGGTTTTAGTCTGTGCCATAAGTTTGTCATCCCATGAGCCTTCACAGTATTCTTCTTCAGAACTTTGAGACTCTTTTATTTGCATCTGTGAAGAAGTTAAAGTTGTTAGATCCTTAGTTATTGTCCACATCATATGGAAGCCTCTCCAGAGGAGTCCAGGTTTAGCAACTGAAGGTTTGTACACTGTCCAGGGACTGTGAGGATGAACTCACATCACTCTTGAAAGAAACATATTGTACCTAATTATTATAGATAATAATTTCCCCCTAACATTTATAAAAATTGAGGAACAGCGTTGAGCATTGACGTTACACAATCAGTTACATAATTCTCAGAGGTCTATTCACGTGTCCACTGTTAGTGTGTGTTTCAAGGGATTCTTCCTTATCAAAAGGCATGACTTTCTTGTGCATTTTGCCCTTGTGGCCCCATTGTCACAGGAATGTGGATAGCTTGAACAAAATATTTACACTAAAACCAATCAACCTGTGGTCTAATATCTATCACTGCCATAGTCAGGCATCCATTTTGTCAACTAAGATTGTTTTTTTTAATCAGATATTTGTATGTAATTGCAGTATTTCTGGATAGTGAAGTTCTAAATTTAAAAAATACGTAGGCTTTTCACCCTCCACAAACAGATACAGGCCTGACTCAGCAATTCTGTTTCTTGTAATAGTTACAAAACTGTATTTTCAATATTATGGATGACCTTTGATCTTATGTATAGACTGCAGCACAGCAGAAATCATCCTCTTAACAATTTGACTGCTAACTGCTCAGCAAGATCAAATTTGCTCTAGAAATTCTTGCCTGTAATGGCACATTCAAATTTAGTTAATATTCAGGTTCTATTTGTGCTGAGGGGAACCTTCCACCTTTGCCTGCTATCTGAAACAGTTCCCACAGATAATTGTTCTTTGCTAAGTCTTCCCTGCTCAGAATGGTGATGTAGCCTCCCTTTGTGTGAAACAATTGCACCTTGCAGCTTTCTTTAGTACCTCTTGTAATTTTCAAAAATGCTTTTATTTTTTACAAATGTGATATTTCTGTACAAATAGGCTGGACACTATTTATGGTTGCATTTTCTTCCATTGCCCTGGCCCGTTTTTCATACTTGCCTCTTGCAAGGTCATTCTCTTTAACCAAATTTGTGCTCTTCCCTTTTGCTATGTGCCTGCATATTTTTCAGGCATTTTGGTTTGGTAACCCCATCCAGTTAGTATCATCTTGTCTTTGCTTCAGCACTTGGAATCAGACTTTCTTCTGGTCTGACAATTTTCTGACATTTTGATTGCTGTTTCTATCTTTGGATGTGAGTGTTCCAGTAGTATTTAAGTTTTGTGGGTTTGATTTTGATTTAATGTATTCTGTGAACCCTGCAATTGAATGCTTTATTCTTAAGCCTCAGATATATCATAAAAACTTCAAAATTTCTCTATCTTGTTGTCTCTTACATGAAATGGCTATCTCTAAAAGGCTGGGTTTTTTCTATGACAGCAATGCTCTTTTAATTAATTTAGCACAATCTAGTAAACTTTTTTTTTCTTTCTCATCTAGCCTCTGACTAAAAAGTGAATACAGATCCTGTGATTTTCCAATATTTAGTCTTTCTGTTCCTTTCCATTATTTCCATTTGCCTTTATGTCAGAGAGAGTTTTTTTCTTTAACTACTTTCCTTTGTCTGCTGTGTTCCCAGAGCATTTAGCTCTTGCTTTAATTTGTTACTAAACATTGTCACACTCCATTGCCAGAAACACTCTCTACCACCACTCCCATTCTGGGGAATGTTTCTTGAAAGAGATTCAGAAGTTGGACTTTAAAATGGCTTTTTTAATAAAACAGTAGTTAACTAACTTGAAAATAAATGAGGAACTTGTAAAAGAGAAAGAAACAAGCTGGATATACTCCTCTCTTTACCAGCCACCTAGCATTAGCTTACTCTTAACAGCAATCTGACCTGTTCAAAAGGCATTTGTCCTTATTACGGTTGTTACCAGATCATGCCACCCTTAATTTTTTAAAAGCTGCTGCTTAAACAGAGGAGTAAGGTACTGCTTAAAAAGAAGACACCTTTTGAGGCACCGTGTCCTTTCTGGGGGCTATTTCTATTGATTGAAGTCTTGCTTGAAGAAGGAATTACATTGTATCTTTTGTATCATTGTCTCTACTGCAGAGTAACAGAAACACTATTAAACAACACAATCTAGTGACCCATCAGAAATGCACAAGTGGAATTTATTTGCTAGCACTTTTCTAGTGTGTTCCTGCTTGGGAGAGTTCAGCTCAGAGCAGGACACCCCACATCCACCATCACGACTTCCTGTGCAAGGATTCAGCTGTTAAAGGATTGCATTCTGAACTCCATGAGATTGATTTGTATCAGTCCTGATAACAAAGGCTGTTTAGGGAGTGTACATGCACATGGACACGTGTGGGCAGCGTGCTCTATGTGAATCTGCTTCGGCGGGGGGACTGGACCAAGACAACCTCCAGAGGTACCTTCTATCCACAGCCATCCTGTGATTTTTGCAGTTCTGTACAGAAGCACATCTCTGTAGCATTTTCCTGGCCAGAATTCTTTACTCTTGAGGCACTAGCAATGCTTTCTGCTGCTGCTGAACTAGGCAGAAGCGTGTCTACATCCTTGAGAAAGTGACTAAACAAAATATTTTTTTGGTATTTGTAAATTAAGGTGATATAGTGTTACATACAAGTAGAAGTATCACCTCTCATGTTACTCACTGAGTGAAAAAAAGAATGGATTTCATCAAAGACACCTTTTCTTATCTATATGTAATAAGGAACTATTAGGACCTAAACATTTAGGACAAGGGAACTATAGAAGGCCTGTGGGAGACATGCTCACCTCCTCTGTTAGACACCACATCTCTCTAAAAACAATCTGTTTTTAGATTGTGTCTTATCCCAGATGGTCTTTGAGCGGAAAAAATGGGCCAACTGTGATTCACAAGGTGTTTTATGTTTTATTACCTTTACTGCTTTTGGTGGCATTTCAAGATACCAACACTGATCCTGAGCCACAGCTGACTTTTCTGTCATTATGACTTTGTGAGAAGCTGTGCCGAGTGTAACAAGTCACTTGGGGGATCAAGTACAAGTAAAAATTATTTTCCAAGGCCAGACAGCGTGGGGAAGAGTTTGGACTTGCCAGAGCTTCCTGAGCATATCAGCCAGGGCACACATCAAAGTTTTGTAAGAACCATTTCATACAGCTTTCTTTCTGAGTAACTTTCTGTTCAGTACAAGTTGATCTCATAATCTGATGTATTCCTTTCATCAGTGTGGGACTGTGTCCTTGCCAAAAGCCTGCATTGTTTCTTTGCTAGAAAATGACATAAAAAACCTTTGTGCAACTTGAAGCCTAGGTTGCTAGTTGAAAATGTATTTTCCTTGCTTTCTCAAAGATGTAACTGAGTTATGTATTCATGTGAGTAAAATGTAACAATTTCTCAAACTTTTGTTGAATAATGAAATGCTTAAAAAGCAAGAGGAAAAGAAAAGCAAAAAAAGTGGAGAAGCATTCAAGATCAATTCCAGATATTTTTGTCCCAGAGGAGCCAAGTAATTGGCAATGGGTGAATATTTGTATACAAACTATGTAACTAACACAGAGAGAACTTTACACACTTTATATAAGCAGCCATTTCTTCCAAATCAAGTAACCCAAAACCTGAATATACTTTCATAGTATAAAAAGTAAACAAGGACTGGAGAGAAACCACAAGTTTAAATAGCTGGATCACTTTACTGTAATCACTTTCGTATATGAAAAGTGCACATACCAGGTACCTCTAGAAATAATCAAATTATAGTTCTTCCAAGAGGGCTGTTTCTTCCTGACAGGTGAACAGGACAATATGCAAAGACTAGAAAGACCTTCACAATGTCTGGCACAGAAGCTCTTTTGTGGAACAAAACACTCATGGAACAAAATGTCAGTTGACTATCATTAGAATTATTATTTGGAAATATGTTAGCACAACTGAGAGTTATCTTCAAACACCCCATTTCCTCTGTGTTCCAGAAGTAACTTTCAGCTTCTGGCACTTTGAATATAGTTGTTTTAAATTGCCTTTTTTATCCAGGAGATAATTTATTGTTTCTGCTGTTCTCTGCTATCTACCAAGAAATTTCTTTCAAGACAACATTCAATTACAAACTGTTCACCTATTGTTCCACATACTAGATTCCTAAGCACAGAAGAAAAATTCTGCTGTGTAATCATTTAATAGTTCAATAGTAGTAAAAAAAACCCAAACCCCTTAGGTTCTAAGAGTGAATGTTTAGAGAAAAAAATAAGCAGTGTGCATGTTTAATTTGAAGATTGATCTTAACTATTTTGGGTAAATATGTTTCAGTCTACTAAAAGAGAGCTGTGTCCTCATGTCATTCTTGACTCTTAAATGATCATGTCTGTAGGGTTGCAATTAATAGTTGCCATCCTTCTCCCTTTGAACCAAGAAAAGGAGGAAAAAGAAAAAGAAGAAGTAAGTACTCTTCTTTTTGACAGACTTGCACTTCATGTTACTCAAATACAAAAAGAACTTGGTGCACATGTTATCTAGAACTTCTTAGTACTAAAACTTTAGAAAAGTTTTTGATTTCATGTCATGCAGCACTAAACAAAAAAATTTTCTGTGAAGAAGTTAGGAGTTGGTAGGTAATACATCTTTGTCTTCACTTTCAAAAATGCTAAAAGCAAAACAATTAAGGAAATGAAAGAAGGAATGAATTTAGCCATCAAAAATAAGGAAGTGCTGCAATGATCCCTTTGGTTTCTGTGGTACTTAAACAGTATGGTATTCACTGAGATTTGGTTTTTTTGGCTGTGTCTTTTGTGATTAAATGATAGGCAAAATTTCGTTTACAAGTACACTCTAGTTTCATAGGATAATTCTTCACGATGAGTTTTACTGGGCAGTTTTTCCTCAGTATTTGTACATCACGTCTGTTACGTGGTAAGAACACTACACAGAATAAACAGCCAAGTCTAGTTCAAATAATTACAGAAAGCTGGAAGAGCCAAGAAGTTCATAGCAGTCCTGAACACCTTTGCTGTTATTGTAGCTGGAGCCAGTGCACTAATGAAGAATGACAGAATGCTGTATTCTTTTACTGTTTTTGAGAACAGAAATGGAGAGTTCAGCCACTTCTAACACCTATGTTTCTTTTGCTAGGTTCTCAGCCCAACTTGCACCTACACAAACTATCCTTAATATATTTAAGAGACATATATGCATACATAGGAAGACAGAAATCAATATTAGAAGGTGATAAGTATATAGTTATTCTGTCACAGTTTATGAATAGCTGTTTAGAAATAGTACTATTGTATTTTCATATTTATTGGTTGAAAAATATACTGTAGCTATATTATAAGACAGCAAGACAGAATTAATATGCCAATGAACTTCGACATTCAGTACATCAGGTTTCCTGCAGTTAATACTATTGTCCTTAGAGTTATTTTTTTATTCACATTTTTTCATTTCATTGCCATGTATAATGGAAGGGGACTGTGCTCCAATGATTCAAACAGGAGATCATCTATATTTTAGACTTCTAAAATTATTTGTGTGATTCCTTCTTGAAACCATTCTGCAGTACAAGGAAGTTAGAACTAACAAGGAAGTTAGAATTTTAATGTTGCACTCTATCAGATCTACTTGTTCAACATTCATAGAATGTTTAAAACCTGTCCTCTGTAGGCTTTAGTTTTGTAAGACATGTGTAGTTAATTATAGTAGGCTATACCTCTGTAATAGAAATACAGATTTTTATGTAATTAATTAAAATGTATACAGCACCCTGCCATTAGGAAAGTAGTTTTCTGAAAGTTTAAAAATCTTCAGTTATTTTGGTCTAAAATAGATGCATTCCATTTTTGGTATCCATATTTAATATTAGTGAAATGAACTTGGAGTCGACATCAGGCTTTCAAATGCTGGCTCTGGCAATGCCACATTGTGAGACCTGTCAGCTTTGTTTGTTTATTCGTCTATAAAAACTGAGATAATTACAACACAAATTTATACCCACAGGAATATTTGCAAGATTAATTGGATTGACTGAGATGTATCAAGGCAGTTAAGTGTAAATGAGTTCTACTGAGAGCGGTGTTACTCCTATCTCTTGCCATGTTTCCTAGATTAGTACTTTAAAGACTGTGCAGTCTTCTGAGAAAGTGACATTATAAAAATGCTTCAAAATATAAATAGCAGATGTATTAAGGATTTGTCTTTCTATATATTTTCTCTTTTTTTTAATCTGGGAATCTCTCTTCTTTCCTCATAAGGCAACAAAATAAATCTTAGTTAGACTGCTGGTTTTATTTTATAAAAATAAGTGTGTATTTATATATAGATAAAGGCCAATAGAAGGAGTGGCTTTCAGTAAATTAACATGTGATTTTAAGAAAATAAAATTGTCTGATGTGCCCAAAGTCAAATTCATTAAGGTTTTTAAAACACTCAAAGCACTACATAAATAGCCACATGGCTCTTTAGCACAGTATGAATAAGCCACAGGCCTGTATCCTATTTCTATTCTGTGAAATTCAGGCATGATATAGTAAATTATGTTTGTAAACTAATTTGTAAATTCGTTTGTGTGTGTGTGTATTTGTTTTTAAGTTAGTCACTTCTGCACTTTTGAAGAGAAATACTTAATGGGAGATTGCTGTTGATGGCATCCAAGGAAACCTGCACTGTAATTACCAGTTTGAATATATTTACCTTGCATCTTTAACAGATTTCATCATGGTTTATTTGAAGTTGAAGCTCAACCACACTTCATTCTGGTCTTAGCAATGACTAAGGGTTATCTAATATCACGTGGGAAGCAGGAGTTAGTAATCAAGGCTCACAATTTTGCCTCGAGGGCTAGTTGACAATTAGACTATGTGGGGTCAGCATTATTTTTAGCACATTATACCCTGTTTTCATTCTAGTTCATAATTATTTTATTGCATCTATTTATATCCATGGAGGTTACTTTAATTTCTCTTCCTATTATCAAAACTCTAAGAGGAAAAATGCTTTTTTCTCTAGTTTTGTGAAGACATAATGTAAGTAACTTTATTTCATGTTAATTTTTAAGATTTGCTTGGGACACTGGAGGAAATTCTTCCTAACCTTCAAAAAGATGTCAGTGTCTGGATAATGACCAAAGACTCCACTCTTCCAAGTGTGCATACCCTTTTAGACAAAATAGAAGCTGCATCTGAAGACCCTGTTCCAGTTAATCGCTGCTCTGCCAACAACCTCAAGTCAGCTGTTTTATATATATTTACTTCGGGAACAACAGGTACATGTCTGCTGAAAAGGTCTATGTTTTCCTTCAGCTTTCACCTAGAAACTTGATTTTTCTGAAAGTGTAATCTTTAATAGCAGAATGTCATATTTCTCATCTAGAAGCTTTATTATAGAAAACAAGTGTGTTTCTTGTCAGTAACTCTATTCAGTGGTGTATTGGTTTATCTTCTTTTTTTTTTCCTGGCACATTGTGCAAATACTATGAGAGGCTTTACCTGTCATTACTTCACAGCTAAAGTGTTTATAAAACATTGCTTTTTTTGTCGGTTTACAATCATAAGAAATATTATTTTGTGATCACGTAGCCCTGCCTAGCTAAAATACCTAAGATTTTACCTAGAACTTCAAAAAACAATCTTGAAACAAGCAAAGAGACGTTTGTTTTTCCTTCATTAAGTCATGTCTTATGCAAGTCACGGTAGAGACAGAAAATAGGATTAAGTTATAGCCTTTCAGTTTAGAAACAGATGTCTGAATTTGTTACCAGTGCTCCAGCAGCTAAGAAGCTAAGACTTAAAAACACCTGATCACTGAAAAGCAGAACGATGTTGTTAAGTTGAGCAGATAGACTCTCCCATTCAGTGGAACACAACAGTGTTAGTAACAAGATTTTAAATGAATATGTGGTGTATAGCTTGGTTCCTTCACACAAACAATAATTCAGTTTATTTGCTTTTTTGGGGAAAAATTAGTAAAAGGGAACACCGGTCAAAAAAAAATTAGGCAGTTATAAATATTGTCAAGAGGTGAGGTTATGTTTGTAATACCACTAACATAAATGCAGTTGAGCTTGCTGGTCAAAAGTAAAGAGTTAAAATTAGCTAAAAAATAATACAGAATTATCCAGGTAGTATGTTTTTGTTGTTATGACTGCATTCAGAATATCTGTGTGAAGTCTCAAATTTCAGTTATGTAGGATTTAATATATTTTTGAATCCTCGTATGCATCACATTAACTTACACTGAATTTCTACTATGTACCATGTAATTAAACAGTAGCTTTGCTAGAATAGGTGAGAAAACTTCATGAACCATTAAAATTTTTTGAAAAATTGAACAGCTCTCACTGTTCATCATCAGCCTGACTCAGCCTGAAATTTGTGAATGTGAGTAGCCCAAGAAGCCCTTGCAGGAGAGTCTGCATGTTGCTGAATAGAAATGCTGGGCTGAACACGAAGAACACTCAAAAAGAAGAACCTAACTGGAGTGGACTTTTCATTGGATTTTTTTTTTTTTAAATTCTACATAGTCTTCATAGAGTTCTAAAACAAATGGGAAGATGTGGATCCATGATTCTTGGATAAGCACCCACTACTTCATGTAGATCCCATATCATTCTAATTTACCTTACAATCACTATGACTCATGCCTGAACGAGATCTGGTGTGATGCCTCTTTATGTTAAAGGAAGTCCATATGCAGAGTGAATGGTTTTGCCACTTTGTTGGCTCTATATAATTCGATAGCAGACAAACTATGGAGTTTCTTTGTGTTTCCACCTATTTGAATTGACTTGACATCCAACTAAATAGTAAACAGATGGGGTTACAAACTGGCTTATCTTTATGTGTAGAGAACAAACATGCAATACTGTATTAAACAGGCAGTCGTCTGTTTATGGCCATCTAAACAGATGGCTGAAAATTTGGTTACAGGAGAAAGAATTGATTCTTTTATGATTTTAGAGACTTTAACACAGGGAAAAAAACCCCAACAACTGAGTTCTCTTTAAGAGAAACTTTATGCATTGTTTTGTATTTTTATTACAGGTCTTCCAAAGGCTGCAGTCATCAGTCACATGCAGGTTCTAAAAGGAGCTGCTGGACTGTGGGCTTTTGGTGCTACTGCAGAAGACATAATTTATATTACTCTGCCTCTTTATCACAGTGCAGCATCTCTTCTTGGCATTGGTGGATGCATTGAACTGGGTACAGCTTGTTTAATTTAATTGTGTTGTTAATATAGAATTAATTAATATAAAAGTGTAAAAAACCACTTAGGTTCATTGCCACTAGGAAAACTCATGCTTTGCTGAAATTAAATGAATAATCTTTTTTTTGGAATAGCTATATATTTATTTTGGGGAGAGGGAGAATATTATAATAACAAAGGATCTCTACAAGAAGGTCTCTTCATGGAGAAGAATTAGTTAGAGTAATTTGTGTCATAAATGCTTTTACTTTCTTTTATATTTTGGTAAAAATGAAGTTAAGGACATCTGCAATATTTTGACAGTGTGTACAGTGCATTGGTATCAGTACAGAGTAAACATTGTACAGTGGAATAGAACTAAAATGTATTTTTGTGAACTTAAAAACCTGACAAATACATTTTGAGTAAACATTCATCTTTTCCATATACCATTAGATGAAATATAACTCTTTTTAATTTAATTTGTGTACTGTTTTGTCATGGACAATAAAGTACAGGTTTTACTGAGACAGTGTATCCTCAATGACTCTCTTATAAGAGATTTCTTTGGAACTTCATGGCAAGTATTTATCTTTTCCTTACGCATCAAGGACAAGTCAGAGCAAGGGAAAGACCATTGTAATATGGATTAATTCTGTCTGAATCTGCATTGCTGAATACTTTATTTAAAAGTGAGGTTTCAGTGATATCCAAATGATTTGTTAATCAGGCTGAATTTTCTGGGTATTTTCAGTTAAATAATGTTACAACACCGACAATAAGAAGCTGTCATTTTGTTTTCAAGCTCTTGTCTATTTTTTTACTGTCTTAGCCAGGAGGCTGATTTCCTTCTTTGTCTACCAGGTTTCAAATAAAACAGCTTAAGTACTACCTAATTCTCTAAACAAGGCTGCTCTTAGTTCCTCCAATGTTCTGTTTTGTAGAACCAGTGAACATAGCTGCCACACAGAGAAATTGCTTCATTTCCTTTTCTACTGTTTCCATAAAGGCGCAACCTGCGTGTTAAAAAAGAAGTTTTCAGCCAGTCAGTTTTGGAGTGACTGCAGAAGGTACAATGTGACTGTCATCCAGTACATTGGAGAACTTTGCCGTTACCTTTGCAATCAGCCAGTGGTAAGTGTAATCAAAGTGATGGCTATTCACCTGTAAGTGATATGTACATTTATTGTTCTTCGTGTGGGTATGTTAAAAGGGGAACAAAACTGTATTGGAAATGTCCCTCTGCCCTTCTTTTTATGTGATGTTCTTCAAAAATTTGGGGATCTGTAGGGGCTTAATAAAAATAATGGCTTGAATAATGAAGATGTACTAAAAGTATTAAAAGAAAAGATTTCGAGATTAAAAACTGATTCGGTATCATTTGGGGAAAAATATTATTTTACAGAGTTTCACAAGGTAAGTTCAGAAAAACAGGATTACTCTCCAGTGTCTTTTCTGAATTTTCAAGACTTTGTTTCTTGGCACCTGAGTGTATCAGAGGTCTCACATTTTGTAGTTCATGTTTTAGCACTGTGGAATGCCTTGTGGAATGTGCATGTTTTGAGACCGTCTAAACCGTATTTTAAAATTTGGAAGGGACTTGGTCTAGGTTAGCAGCCTTTGGTTCCAATGCAAAAATATTTTCCTTGTGTTCCACTGAGAAAGCTATTCTAGACAACAAATCCATTTTTGTTACAGTGACATTCCTCTCCGAAATACTTCTTTTCCCTTGGCATTTAGTGCTTTGATGGTTTACTGACATGATATCAAATACAAAGTATGCTGAACCTGTTGTAATTACCAAATAGACCTGACTCAGGTTAACTGAATTAACTTTTGATCTGGCTATTTTCTGGTATATTTCTGTACCTTCTGGTTGATGATAGAGAGAGCCCAAGGTGTTTAGGCTAAACTAAATGCCTCAAATTTGTTGGAATTAACTCAAGGTATGTAGAATAATATAGATGGAATGAATATAACTTGTTGTGTAGCAAATCCAACTGACTTTCTATCCTAAATGTGTCAAAATGAATATGCAAAAAACATTAATCATCCAGTATAAACTAAAATTCCTCTTGCTGGCAACTTCCATCCATTTATGAGCTGTGGGTTGTCCTGTTGTTTTTCAGTAATAAGTCCTAAATGTTACCTCTTACATTATCCTACCTAGTTAAACATTTTAATAAATTACTTTACCCGATTATTATTATAAACAGATTTTATTTTGAATATTAAATAAAAATAAATAACACCCTCCAAATGCCAGTAGAACATTAAGCAACAGGAACCGTGTCCTCTCTTAATTTAACCAAATGTTTGAGAGAACATAAAGCGATTTGTGAAAATGTACAGAAGTTAGATGCAATGCAGCTGTTATCTCATTGATCAGCCTCCCTTTGCCTCTACCCTAATTTCATTTTGTTATTTCAAAAAAAAATAATCAGTGGTTTATTTCCTTTTCAGTGAATTTTATTAAAGTAACTCATCTCTTAGGAAAACGTGCCAGTAATTCAAATTACTTAATCTGAAAATTATTTTCTAATCCAAGTCCTCATTTTACAGTTTTCCAGAATAACATCCTCCTTAAGCAGGATTCTAAAATAAGAGAATGCAAATCAGTCTTGTTTTCCAGTAGAATAATAATTTGCATTAATATTTCAAGTTGCTGACCAAAGAATGGAAAAGGTCATTGGATTTCTTTTCCCTCTGGAAATTTTTCAGAAGAATGTTTAAGCAATGTAGGGGTGGGTCATACACCCTACTGCACTGTACACGCATGCCTCAGTAAAGTGGAAGTTCTTGAATTAAAGAGAGCATGGCTAATGTCCCAGTGACCACCACTGACTGCAATGGAAAACCAGGATAGTAATACCTTTCACTCTCTGGTTTGTTTTTGTTTGTTTGTTTGTGTTGGGGTTGTTTGTTTGTTTGTTTTTGTTATGCTGTGGTTTTGGGGTTTTTTGTGGTGGCTTTTTATTATTATTGTTATTATTATTTAGTTATTTTATTTTATTTTTATTTGGTTTTTGAACTTTATAGTAAAATAAACAAAAAATTACAGGATAACAAAAAATCAAGTTAAAGGCCATAAGGAAAATCAAGACATATGAAAGACATTTTTTTTTCTCTCTTATTTATCCTGTTCAGTATCTTAAAGCAAGAATGATAGATTAATATACTTCATTTCTGAAACAAACTCTCTCATTTTTAAATCCTTACCAAGCCATCATGAAGTTAAAGCAGTTTTAAGTTTTTCCAATAAAGTTATTTATACCATCATTAACTATTTATATACTGTGGTTATAGAGTCATTAACTCTCTATTAACTATATAACTATTCTATTTGTTATTTTATGTGCATACTTCCTAGGAGCTGGCATGTCCAAACTCTTTCTTCTGTGAGGCTACAGGGTTTTTTTTTTTTTGGTTTGCTAGCTTGCTAAACCTTTTCAAGAAAAATTAAAATTATAAAATGAATCAATTTAACAGCTAGATGAAGAAAAATAGTAAGTATTTGTCATGGTAAAGCTGGAAGAGAAACATGTTCGCACAAATAAGTAGAAGGTTGTAAAATATGTTATGCAATCCATTCTTAGTTTTCAAGTAGGTAAAATAATTTGCCAAGTTGGATTGTCTCTTTAAGTCTCATTAATGTAGAAGTACTGTATAAGCTAGCAGCATGAGAAAGATATGACAAGTACAAGTTCTAAAGTTCTGTGAAAATAATATGTGGGCAGTGTTCTCATGGTTAGAGCACTATAAAGCCCTTCTAATCAACACAGATTAAACCATAGCAATTACCCTATGTTCCTTATTTGGTTTTTTAACACAAAACTTGAAATAAATAGTATATTTCTTACAGCTGGAGTCCAGACTGTGGCTTCTTGTTTCATAGATTTCGAATTAAACTTTGGGCAAGTCTGTGTGGTAGCATATAGACTCCTGGCTGAGCTTTGTTATTGGTTTCGTCTTGTTTGATCATTCTGCCTCCCACTTACATCTGCAACAGCTCTTGAACACTCTTGCAGTAGAATTTTTCTGAAGCTGTTCTGCATGCAGTTTGGTTTAGCAATCTGATGTCTGGAAAGAACATTTGTTAGAAAAGGAAGTTGTCTTTCTTCTTTAAATACAAGTACAAAGACATTGCATTATGTGACCTTTATAGGTTTTGGTGGGCTCTTAAGTGAGTAATCCTCATGCCTGCCCTCATCCAAGCTCTTCTTCTGCAGTATTTTGGTTACAATGAAAGTACAAGAACCAGCATTGATGGCTAATAGCCATAAGTAGCTGCAAAATGGGTCGTGCTCTAAGATACTAGCATGACTACTCCAGTGAAAAACTAATAACTTGGTCTTGCTGGATGACATTGCGCAAAGTCTCTATTAACAATGATTAAAAAAATTACAGAAGTATGGCATAGCAGAGCTCCCTATATCCTCTCTCAGCAAAAGCCTTGGAAATACTTCTCTACTAATCTGTGGATATATTTTCCTTATAGGCTTGTAACTAATTTAAAATTTAATATTTAAAGTGTAAACAAAATCTTCTAAAGGCACTTGCAGATATATTTCAAATTTTATGTCGTGATCTATTTAAATAATGCATTACATCCTGAAGCTTTTGGAAAGATAGAAATGGTAATTGAGCATCTCTTTCCTTCTTTTCTGTAAAGAAGACCTGGATCCAGAAATGTGTTACAGTAAGAGGGTAGAAATCAGTTTTCTTGATTATTATGTCCTGTCTTCTTCTTTCTTAAGTCATCATGCAGTATTTGTATGATTTATGATACATTGCATGAACTAGGTTAACTCTCTATTTAAAACCAGAGTGCACTTCTCCTTGTATACAAAGTCCGTTTCACAAATAATTATATGATTGCTTAGAATTTCCCACTCAGTATCTGTCCTGCTTTATGTCCACTTGGAACTGAGCCAGTGTTATCCTTTGTCATCAGTAACATTTTCTATTTCCTTGGGGTAACCTCGAGTGTGTAAGACCGCGTATATCAGCTTTCAGACTAAGTTTTGATAAGCTGAAGCAAGGCAGTCTCTCTACTAGATACAGTTTGGCCAAGGGTTCTTTGGATGGGATTAAGCTCTCTGAAGTGACTTTAGAAAAGATGCTTAAGGATTTATTTTGCTAAAACTCTTCTGTGTTAGAACAATAGTAATTCCCAGGGAATTACTAGAAGGAACGCAGTGCTACCTGGATAAGGAAACAGAATGAACATTTATTTTCCTGCAGTTGACTCAAGTGTTGTGGGAAGGATTGTAAATGTGGGGTTTATGCATGTTGGATAGCACTGTCTCTCACCTAGAAACGGGCTTCTTTGAAGGAAGGATATTTGATAGTCACATAGACAAGGAAAAATTAGTCAGCAGGCGCTTCTCTACAATGGAGGTTTGACTTGAAATCACATTTTATTCCCCATTAAAGTTTAGTTCAATTTATGTTTAATACTGGAAATCGTTCTTTCTGATATCCTCAAAATGTAGAGCAGAAATTTGTCAACACCCTTACAGGTTTTCAGCATAAATATTTTATTGAATACCGCAAACCAGTAAAGTTACACATTTACAGACAACCACATCTGTATCTTCCATTAGTAATCTCTACATGTCATTACAATTTAATTTACTGGGGAGAATTTTGCAATTTATTTATTCGTCTACTAAACTGTCCCTTAAAAAAAATGGCAACGATTTGCATATGTCATAAGCAGACATAATTCTTAATCTAAGTTGTTACAGTATTAACAGTACCTTAAATGAGAATTGAACACTGTTTGTATATTCTGTTAGAGAAAATGGTACTTTTAAATTAAGAACATATTCAGCACATCCGAAATTGAAGCTGAGAAATGGACCTGAGATTTGGAAACTTGCATTTACTTCAATCCAGACTACATCAGTTGATCAATTGATCTTATAAAACCAACAAACTTTGTCTGTGCTTTCAGCTGCCTTAACTACAACAACAACATTGTTTTTTAAAAGTGGCTTTAAAAAGAGATTATAAACCTGTCTAGTTTGACTACTCCCTAGTGATACTTAAATGTACTGACATACTTCTCTTGGACTCCATCCACATGATGATCCTGCGTCTGTTTTCTCATTCTTCTCCCTAATAATGGT